CGGGGCTCCCTGCGCAGCGCCGTCCGGGTTCGCCCCGGCCCAGCCTCCTGCTCGCCAGTCCCGGGCGACCCGACCACCCGGTCGGCGCACTGGGCGACCTGCAGCCCTGCCCGGTCCCGGGGCCCCTGGGGTCTGCTGACGGCTCGCGCGGACCTATCTGGGTCCTCGGAGGACGGAGGGCGACCTCTGCGCCAGTCGCCTTCGATCCGGTCCACCGGAGACCGGGGTTGGCATTTGTAAATAAATGTCTTGTGGTTTCTGTTACCAACTCCTTTTCGGACCCGCTGTCTGCTTGTCTTGACTGCAGAGGACAGGACTCCCCTAAAGTTAGGAGAGGGGCTTGTTTGGACTCCTGCGATGTTTTCTTTTGTTTCGATGGAAAACTTGAGTCTTAACCGTCATTGAGCAGCCGGGCCGTCCTGGGCGACCAGGGTTTCCGACTGCACCAGGGCCTACAGTGGGCTCCTGCAGGGTGTTTCAGCAACGGAAACCTGAGGATGTGGCTCTCCTCCCAGCTGAGAGCTGCGCTCAAGTCTTCTCGGAGCTGCCAGCCTTGTTGGAAGGGAGCCGAGATCAGGGTCTACTCTGCGACTCTCTCCTGGCTGAATAGAACAGCTCTTGAGTGAAATTAGCAGGGCGGGGAGCGGGTCGGGAGGGCTTGGTTGGCAGCACTCGGGGCTACGGAGGAGGCGGGGCTTTCACCCTGGGGGGCTGGGCGGAGGTGCACCGGCTCGTAGGTTCCCCTGGAGCATTTTGTAACCAACGGTAGCCAACTTGGGAGGCTGCTGAAACGAAGATGGAGCTGGAACTGCGGGGCACGTGTGTGCCTGCTCATCACCCGGGGACAGTGTCAGGATCCAGAAAGCCTTCACGATCCCCCCCCCCCCCCCCCCCGGCAGCATGGGCACCTGCCCGCATCAGGAGAGCACGGCCAACTTGGGGAGAAGGGCACCGGGCCTCACTTTCTCATGCCACTTGTGACATTTTGTCGGAGGCAGCCTCTGGACAGGACTCCTTTCTTGTAAGCACTGGTGGGTGTTTTAAGATGTGTTCTGCATTTTTTTAGTCCACGATTGAGAGAACGGTAAGGCTTCTCCTGGGACCAGCTTTAGAAAGCCTCTCCTGGTCTTTGGATTTCATCCCCCTGGCACCAGCACTTACCCAGCCCTGGGCCACAGCATTCCAGTCTCCTGGTGGGCACAAATCTGTGTTCTCTTTTTGTCTAAGTAAGTCTTTTCTTAAAATGTGGTCTTTAGAATTCAGCCCTATACAGAATTCCTGTGGAAGCATCATCTCCTATAACCCCCTCCCCGACCCATGTTCTTCTTGGCAGAATCTGAGCTCTCTCTCCTATGTCTAAGGTGGTCCCGCCAGAGCCTCTTCTTCTACAGTTTCTTCGTAAAAGACTTCCTCCCTAGCTCTCCCTGCCGGCTTGTTTTCTTGGCTGTTCTGTCTCTGACTTTTCTTCAGCTGCTTCGCTGGTGTCGTGGAGGCACATGTGCAAATAAACCCAGGTTCAAAGGCTCACGCTTCACCTTAAAAAAGATCTGCTGGTCTGGTTATCTCTTCCGCACAGCTACCTAACTGTAAACAGTCTGCCTCCGCAAAACAGGTTCTGATGGTGAGAGCGGCCGTCAGATGTGTGAGCAGCACCGGACAGAAGAGGAGAGGGCACGGTGGGGGGCTCATGGTCATGAGGCCCTCAGTGAGGCCTGTGGCAGAGCTCCCAAGAACTCCCCAGGAGCCCCAGAGGGAGCTGGTTATTTCTCATGCCCCCGGGACATCCTGGGCAGTAAGTCACATCTGGAACCAGAAGCCTCGTGGGTGTTTATTACCCTCTGATGCCGTCCCCTAACAGCCTGTATCTGTTTGGGTAGCTCAGCCCCGGGCTCCCTCTGGCCTCTGGCCGCCTTTCATTCTCTTACCAGCGCTGTCCATCGGTCCTTCCACCTCAGTGTCCTCACCAGCAGCCCATGCCCACAGGTCTTAGAAAAAGCAAAACACTGACTCTTAAGGGTGGACACAGGGAATGATAGACTTGAGTACTCTGTGTGCCGTGGCCTCTTGGGGTAGGTGCTGCCATTCTTTCTTTGGTACAAGAGACCGTGTTCCCAAGTGTCACGGCAAAGCCAGAGTTTGTGCCCAGGCGGTCAGGCCCGGGCTGGCCTCTTAGCCACGCCCCCTCCCCCAACCAGTGCTCTTACAGCAGTGACCTTAGAGACCCTGGGGACTGCTGACCCTTACAGCCCCCTGCCCATCGGCACCCAGACCAGCGAGCAGGCTTCTCTGGGCAGAGTCCCAGAGTCCCTGCCTGGCTGTCGGCGAGCCTGTGCTTACCTGGGTCTGCACACGGGGACCACGACGTGAGCCATCGACACCATCCGAAAAGGCTGTGGAAGCTGGGCTCTGCCTCAGGACAGCTCCGGGTGCCTGAGGGCCCGGCCTGCTTGCCTTCTTGGGCCCCTGAGACACTGGCCTATCCTGGCACACCAGCGCGTGCGGGAGGCTGGGGCGGGAGTGACACATCGCAGGTGCCGCTGGAGTCCATGTGCCGGCTGTGTGGCTTCTCCAGTTGGGCCCGCGGGTCTGGTGTGGGAGAGCAGACCCCTCGGCTGGCTCTGTCCGTGGACAAGCCCCTTGGCATCGGCCCCTTGGGCACCTGCGGGCAGAACCTCCTTGGAAGAGGCGGGCACTGCCTGTCGCCACTCAGCACACCACAGTCAGTGTGGACACCTGGCCACGGGCCGATCACAGAGAGCGGCCGGGTTCAGGCGGGGTCCACGTGCCTTCCCAAGACACCCGAGCTCCCCCGCCTCCTCCCGCTGGCACAGAGGTGCCCTTCACACAGCCTGTGCATCTCTCGTCGGAGTCGTGGCCCTCAGGCCTGCCCTGGACCCTGCCTTCCGCTGATGACGTGGTCATGGCTCGTCCCGAGTGCTCCCGTGGCCTTGCCTTCTATGCGTGTTTTCACAGCTTTGTTGACATTCAGTCTCATGTGCACAGTTCAGGGCTGCCTGGAGTGTGCGGTGTTGAGCAGTCCTCTCCCGTCAGCCCTCGATCCCTGCTGTCTCCCCAGGAAGAAGCCTCACCCCTGTTAGCAAGCAGACCCTGGCGCCCCCGCCCCAGAAACCACCAGTCTACATTCTGCCTATGGGTGACGGGTGGGTCTGTTCTGGACTTTTCACGCAAACGGAATCATACACCACATGTCCCGAGTGTGGTGGTTCCGAGGCTCACCCCGGGGCGGCGTCCTCCAGTCCTCCACTCGTCCTGGGTTCCTTCACCTTCACACGTCTGTGGTCTGTGTGTCCATCACCCACGGACAATATGGCTTGTTTCCACCTCGTGGCTCTCGTGGCGATGCTGCCGTGGCCCCCACTGGGATGGCAGCTGGGCTCTCCTCCAGTGACTGGGTGGAGAGGGCGGCCTCCCTCGGCCATTAGGCTGAGCAGACCCTTGAGGCCGTGAGAGCGCCAGCTCTGGGCGGGTGGGCGCCTCGTTACACGCCTGCCAGGGGTGCCTGGGGAGTGCGCACCCGGGTGAGGTCAGGGACGGGCGGGTGCTGTGGGGAAAAGGCTGCTGGGAATTTTCTTGGCCTCAGGCCGAGCCGGGCCTTCTCACATACAGTGTGAGTGCAGATGCTGATGAGCTGGGGTGGGGGGCGTCCCAGATGCCAGCGTGTGGGAGGACGGCCCAGCCCTGGGCAGCAGGAGTCCTCAGCTGCCTTTTCCTGGGAAGGAGGTGGGAGAACGCCGACCGCTTAGCTCAGCGGAGTGGTCTGTACCCAGGGGAGCCCTCTCCTCCCGTGTCCCTCCCACCCCGCCTGCAGGGTGCACACAGGTGAGAGGACAGCTGGCCTCACCCTGATGCCCTGCAGGGTCTCTCGTGGGTGTGGGCCTGGCCCCGTCTCGGGGCTGAGCGCTCACTCCCCAGGGGCTGTGGCGGCTCTGTGTCAGCATCTGCACATTCTAGTTTGGCATCACAGCTAAGCGGTCCCCACGGCGCTTCCTAAGAAGCTGGACCGACGTGGTCCTGCGATCGAGTTCCTTCTTGCTGCCCCCCTGGCTGTCTTCCAGCCCAGCATTCCCACTGCCTGGCTCTCCTCCTGCCTGAGTGACAGGCAGCACTGAGGGGGTGGGGGGCGCGAGGGCTTGCTGCCGTGGCCCAAGCACATCTGTGTCCCCTGGCTGTCCTCGTGATGTGGCATCTCCAGGACAGTGCCAGGAGCTCAGGGCTGCAAAGAGCCTCGGGTGCCTGAGTGCGTGCCCAGGGCCGTGAGGATCCCTGCTTGGCAGTCAAGAGCCTAAGCAAGGCCCCTCTGTTGCCACGCTCAGGCACCGTCCCACGGCTGGTGACACTCAACCTGGACAGCTTTGGCCCTGCCTCGTCCAATGAGTCTTGGCCCTTGGAGCCCTGCGGTTTCCTCTCCCAGAACTTTTCATGATCTCACTCTTGAGAATTTTGTGGGTGGAGTGTCTCCAGGGCCCTCTGCGCTGCCCCCGCGTCCCCAGAGCAGCTGAGGCGCTGTCACCACATGGCCGTGAGATGGGCAGGCTGAGCTCTCCCACCGCGGCTGGGGCTTTTGCTGGGCACGGTGCCGCAGGACCAGCACGGGTCCTGGGGAGCCCGGCCACTGCTGCACCGGCATCCTGGGTATGGCGGCGGGCCCCAGAAGCCCACAGCTGGGAGGGGACCTGGGCTCATTTTTTAGCCAGAGGGCAGCCGTCGGGTCAGTAGGATTTAGGAACAGAAGTGACCGTCGCCAGAAACGCGCCGCTGACGGCAGAGGGGAGCTGCCCTGCGCGCTCAGGCCGGTGTCCCCTGCCGCTGCAGGTTCTGCGGGGAGTGCCTCCAGCCGTGCCTGCAGGTCCCGTCCCCGCTGTGCCCGCTGTGCCGCCTGCCGTTCGACCCCAAGAAGGTGGACAAGGCTGCCCACGTGGAGAAGCAGCTCTCATCCTACAAGGCACCCTGCAGGGGCTGCAACAAGAAGGTACCCCCCTCCCAACCCCCCAGGGCCTTCCCGGGGCGATTGCAGGCTCTGGTCCCACTCTCCCACAGAGAGGAACTGGGCTGGACTGCTCCGCCCCTCCCCCACAGCACCACTCACTTCCGGCTGGGCTGGCCACATCCCCCCACCTCTCTCCCCACCCCCTGCTGCCTGGCCCCGGGTCTTCCGGGGTCGTGTGGCTGATTTGGGGAAGTGCGGGCCGGGGGGGCGGGGCCCCAGGCTTAATGGAAGGGAGCATCTCTAGTACTGAATGCCCCAGCCCTGGGGGGCACTCGGTGGCCTTTGTCACCCACCCTGGCCTGCCTTTCTAGCGGCCCAACCCCAGGAACGGATTTTGACTTTAATCTCTCAGCTCGGCAGGTTGTACCAACTTACCACAACAAAAAGCAGCCCCTGGTTGCTTTGTTCTAAAGGTCAGGGTCTGGGCGCGCAGGGGCCACCCTGGGTTCTGCAGTGAGGCTCCTTGGCCTCTTCCCTGGCAGGTAGGCCTTCTCCCCCTCTCTGAGAGAGAGCAGGCAGGGCCCTCCCATCGTTTCCAGTGTGCAGTGGCCCTGCCCTTCGCCCCCGTGTTCCCAAATGTGTCCACGCACGCAGGCCACGGTGGTGGCCTGAGCAGAGCTGGGAGCCAGGCTGCCGTTGGAGGCCCTTCTGTTACCCTGGACAGCTGGGTGGGATGCTGGCCCAGGGGTGGGTGCTCACACCCTCCTCGCTGCTCCCTCGGTCCTGTGAGTGAGCTTTCCATTTGTGAAACCTTTCCTCTCGGCCTTTGGGCATTGACGACGGGTCACGATTGGTGGCTTTTACTGGTGCCGTACTTATTCCTTTTCTGCGGTCATTCGCTCGATCCACACCGAGGCCCCTTTTCCCTGCCCTGAGCCGGGTGTCCCCCATTGGCCAGAGTGTGTGACCTGGGCCTGGCTGAGGAGATTGTGCTGTGGCTGGGTTCGGTGCAGTCTGGTAAGGAGTTCTATCACGTTTGTCTACGAGAGAACGCTGTCCCTCAGTTTCCGTTATGAGGGCTGTTTTCCCCAAATAAATGCTCTTCTGGTTTCCTCAAGGACTGCCCCTGCCCCTCTGCAGCCCCCAAGGGATCCCAGCTGAGGTGTGTTCCTGACTGGTGGCTGGTGGCTGGTGGCCGGATGGCTTGAAGCCGTGAGCGCCGGCTGGGGGAGGGTGTCCTGACTCTGTGTCTCTCCTCCAGCAGAGACACCAGGCCCCTAAATGAAGCCGCTCGCTGCTTACACAGCACTGCTGGGCCACGAGCATCGGGGGCAGGGACTGGCCTGCTTGCTCACTGTCCTCCCAGCCTCTGGAGCCTGACCCCGACCGTCTTCTCTGCCTCCCTCTTCCTAGGTGACGCTGGCCAAGATGAGGGTGCACGTTTCCTCCTGCATGAAGGTCCAGGAGCAAATGGCCAACTGCCCCAAATTCGTCCCCGTGGTGCCCACATCCCAGCCCATCCCCAGGTAAGCACCCTGCTCCAAGTGCTCAGAGCCCCTGTCCCTTGTGGGGGCAGCTCCCGGCCCATGTTGCCGTCCCTTGAGGAGGTAGAAGAGGCTGTTGTGTCCCCTCTGTGGAGGGGCCACGCAGGCTCACAAATCACCTCCCAGCAGGGGAATGCCGTCCCCAGAAAGGCCAGGGTTGGACAGATGCCCTCCCAGGGCCATAGCCACATTGAGCGAAGGGAGGGGACCCAGAGTCTGGGGAAGGGGGTGCCGGGTGAGGTGCCCAGGGGTGGGCAGGGCCCAGGAGGGCAGTGGGAGTGGCCCCCACTCACCTCCCCCCACCGCCCCAGCGCCGTCCCCAACAGGTCCACCTTCACTTGCCCCTACTGTGGCGCCCGAAACCTGGACCAGCAGGAGCTGCTGAAGCACTGTGTGGACAACCATCGCAGCGACCCCAACCGCGTGGTGGGTGGAACCCCGCCCCCCGCCCGGACCCAGGGAGGGGGCTGCTCCCGCCCGAGCGCTGCCTCAGTAGGGCCCTCTGTTCCAGGTGTGCCCCATCTGCTCGGCCATGCCCTGGGGGGACCCCAGTTACAAGAGCGCCAACTTCCTGCAGCACCTGCTACACCGGCACAAGTTCTCCTACGACACCTTTGTGGTAGGTGCCCAGCCCAGCTCTTGGCCCCTGCCCGCGGCCCCGCCCCATTCCAACCCAGCCCCGCCCCTGGCCCCTGCCCGCAGGCCCCCCCCAATTCTCACCCAGCTCCGCCCCTGGCCCCCTGCCCGCGGCCCCGCCCCATTCTCACCCAGCCTCGCCCTGGCCCCTGCCCACGGCCCCGCCCCATTCTCGCCCTGCCCCGCCCCTGGCCCCCTGCCTGCATTCTTACCCAGCTCGCCGTGCCCCTGCCTGAGGCAGCAGCTTGGAGGAAGCTGGGCACGACTTCTGGGGGCGGGGGCCACCTATGTGTGGCCCCTGGAGGGCCTGGGGGCTCGAGCTGCACTGAGCAGTCCCGCCAGGGCCTCCTTTTGTTCTGCTTGGTCACCCCGCCCCCCACTGGGCCCATCAGCCCTCCTCTCAGGCTTTGCATGGTGGTGGGCTGGGGACTAAGTGCCTGTGGGAGGGGACAGGCTTCCCTCCTGGTGCCTGGAGAAGAGCTGCCGGGGGCCTTGTCCCTCCCTCTCCCACCTGTGGCATTTCAGAAACCTTGTCCCACTCCCCCCCCCCCCCCCCGCCACGCGGCCTGCAGACCCTCCAGCACCCCAGCCGTTGGGACTACTTGCTCTCAGCCCTGTCGCCCCGTCCTAATTGCCAGGGGCCCCGGACATGCCCTGCCCCTCTGCTCAGTTCAGAACCCTGGTACCTGTGTCTGAGGAGGAGGAGCTCACACCTCCCACAGACCCGCCTGCGCCCAGCGTCCCAGCCAGGTGTCCGAGTCAGGTGTCCCTGTAAAGAACGTTGGGAAGCCAGATGTGGGTCCCATGCTGGGCAATACTTTGACATCCCTCGGGGCTGTCAGTAGAGTGACTCCACGACTCTGGATGCGGCTGTCCCGTCTGGGGCCCCGAGAGGCCACTGCTGCACCCCCGTCTTCACTTCCTGTCTTGCAGGACTACAGCATCGATGAGGAAGCGGCCTTCCAGGCGGCCCTGGCCCTGTCTCTCTCCGAGAACTGAAGGCACAGCCCAGCCCCGGGACCTGAGCCCTCCCGCCTCGGGGGGACGGGGCGTGCGGTCTCCCTGAGGCCCAGCGCCTGCGTGGGAGTGGGAGTGCGCCTCGGGGACCAGGCGGGGCCTCCGTTGTCGCAGGAGGGGCGGCCCCCGAGCCCGTCGGGCCGCGTCCTCACGGGGCGGCCACCAGTGCTCCTGGCCGGGCATTGCTGGTTTCTTCGGTGCTTCGAGCTGAGCAGGTGGCCCTGGTAGGGCCGGCTCGTTGGGCCTGGGAGCAGTCGACTGTCTGTCTGTCTGTCTCAAAGCCATGATGTCCTCCCCGTACGCACGGAGACCCGTCCTGCCCACGCTGCGTCCCGCAGGCCTGGCCGCTGCACGGGAAGCGCGGGAGGGGAGCCCTGGCCAGCATCTGGCACACTTTCCCTTTGCGCGCACGGTACTGGCTTTTGTGATACCTGGAGATTCTGGCCTTTTTCTACGTCACCCAGTGTGAGAACCTTTTCACATTTTATAGAACAGCTACTCTACAAACCGCAATCCCGCGTTTGACCAGGGGCAATAGTATTTTTATGGAACATTTACAGAATTATATTTTTTAAAAAAAAAGCAATCAAAAATAAACAGTGGTGGGGTCAGTGCAGGGAAGGGAAAGAGGCGGGCAGACCTCGGAGCCCTAGCGCGGCCGCGGGGCTTTGCTGGGGTGCGCGCAGGACCGCGGTGGCCAGGGTCCCTTTCATAGTCGCCAGGAAGAAGCCCCCAGTGCCCCCCTGGCTGCTCACAGTGCAGGCCTCCTCCTGCCAGGGTCCTGGCCTCGGCCCCGCTGTCACCTTCCCAAGCGGACCACGGACCGTGTAGGCCACCCCGGGGGACGACAGGCGGGGCTGGAAGACGCCATCTCACTCTTTTCGGTTCACGGCATAAATTATTGCTCTTTTAAAAAAAAAAAAACGTAAATAAAACGTTTCAAAGCATCTATAGCAACCTCGATCTGTGGGTTCATCTGGGAGCATTAACGGTAGGGTGGGGGCTGGTGTGCACCCTTGTTTAAGGTCTGCAGGGGTGTGTGTGTCCCCACACAGCTCCGCTCAGGGCACCTGCTCCAGGCCCCTCCCCAGGCTTCCCTCACCCCGAGGCGCTCGCTCACCAGCCTGTTTCGGCCTGTCCCAGACACGTGCTTGTTCTTGAACCATGTCTGGTCCCCCGTGACAAACGTAGGCAACCCTAGGCGCGGGTGGCTCTCACCTCCTTCCTTGTTGTGAGATGCAGTCCCCTGAGGCCGGCAGACTGGTCTCATTGAGGCTAGCTCTGAGGCCCGGATGTGGCCACAGCGGCCGGCACGGGGTCTCTGGGAGGCCCTTGATCAGCAGCCACCGTCCCCACGGCTGGCTCCTGCCACTCGGTGGCTTCCCTGGTCTTGCCTGGTGCTCTCGGCCCCAGAGCCTCATTCGGTGACTAGAGGGCAGAAGGAGCCGTTTAAATGTGAACCAGGGGTGCCTGGCTGGCTCGGTCGGTGGAGCACGTGACTCTTGATCTCAGGGTCATGAGTTCGAGCCCCATGTTGGGTGTAGAGATGATTTAAAAATAAAATCTTCAAACGTGAAATGTTCACCCAGAGACGGTGCTCAGGGCCACCATTGGTGCCACGGGCTCCTGCTGTCCCCCACGTCACTCGGGCCTTTGAAAGCCAACAAATATCACCTGCTGGCCAGTGTCCTGGCAGCTGGTGGTCGGTGTGCGGCCACACTCCTGCCTCCCTCTCCCTGGCTGTTTCCAGGCTGCCTCCCCAGGCAGGGCTGGGTTCTGGGTTGTTCTTCTAAGAAGGTGGGTCTCCCGAGCTTGGAGCCATAGCAGGGCCAGGCACACGAGCCTCCACAACGGTCACTCGGCAGGAGAGTGGTGGCAGGCTGGCCACCCCCTAGCTCCTTTGTTAGGAGCCTCTAGCCCCACCCTTCCCTCTTTGACCCCACTGGCCAAGGATGCCGGTTCCAGGGAGCAGGTGTGGTGATGAGTCCCTGCCTCCACCCGAGGACACCTGTGGAGCTGTGCCCCCTCCGCGCAGCCGCGGGAGCCACAGGAGAGCGTCCACACGTGGCCTCTCAACCCCCTCCACCCCAGGCCCAGGCCACATGGGACCACAGAGAATACACCACCGACCAAGGGACTCATGTCCAGGATAGTCTGCCCAGGGGGGAGCATCAGAGTGAACCCTAACAGGGCACGCGGGACACAGGAACCCGTGTCAGCAGACCCCACGGTGTCAGGGAGGGGACGCTCTGGCTTAAGTCCACAGCACAATCGGCCTCCCTTGTACTCTGCGTGAATCCCACGTGCGGCGGGGCTGTCCCGCCAGGCCCCCGGGGCTTTCGCGCCACACACGCTTCAGGCGGAGAGTTCCTGGAAGTCATGGTCTCCCTCCCACCCTGATCAGCGCAAGGGCCGACCGCCCCCGGAGTGTATCTCCACCTCTGCCACACAGAGGGAGGCAGCCCCAGGCCCAGGGCGCCCCCGCACCTTCACGGTGCACATTCCCCAGCGCACCCCGTGGCCTAGAAAGCGTCTCTGGACCTACGACCTTCTCTGTCAGGAAGGCAGCCCACGGGAAGGCACTCCCGGGAACTGGCGCACTTCTCATCCGGGCCTCGCGGGAGCCGATGGCCCAAGCACTGCGCCCACGGCGTCCGTCGGCCGGTCTCCGGTGCGGGCCCAGACAGGATGAGCACCGCCTGCACACGGCGGGGACTTGTAGCCCTGTCACTCTTCTCACGCCTGTCCTCGGCGGCCTCCCGGAGTTCCAGAAAGTGCCGTAGCCACCACCTGGTCCCAGGGTGCCGAGCACCCTGGAGAGCTGGGCCCCCTGCCCTGACCTCGCCCAGAGAGGCGTCGTGCTGGACACAGCGGCCAGTGTGCCAGACCAGCAGAAGAAGGCGCTTCGGCCCCCAAAGACCCACTGCTGGCTCCTTCGGGCCGTGCCTGGAAGTGACTCCAGGCCCTGCAGCTATTGGCTTCCAGAAAGCCAGATCCAGGGAGCCTGGGACCTGGGACCCGGCGGCAGGCTCCTCCGGGCGCCCCCAGCATGTCCGGCCCGTGGGGCTTGGTGCCTTCGGTGCAAGTCGCGGTGAAGGTTTGAGCTGCCCGCAACGTCCCTCCTGAGGGCCTCCGAGGACAGGCCACCCTCACTGGCCTCTGCCCCTGGCGGCCTGCTGACGTGCGGATGCTTGGGGGGTGGGGGGCAGGCGTCTAGACCCTCCCTGCGACCGAGGACCGCCCGCGTCCCAACAACCTGCTGGAACGAGGGGCTGGATCCAGCCTGCGGACAGACAAGAACCTCAGAGAGGAGGTGGTGCAGGGGCAGAGCTGGGAACCCTGCTGAGGACCCCACGGACTGCTCCCCTTGAGGCCCTCGGCACCCTGCTGATGCCCGATGCCTGTGTCACACGGGAACAGCTCCTGGGGCCTCACAGACACGTGTGCACACACACGCACACACACGGGCTGTGAGGACACAGCCCAGCCCGCACGTGCACCCCTGCTCGGACCCCCACTCATTTCCATCCTTCCGCCCCAGCCCCTAGGACCCCTCCCAGCACCCAATCCTCCGGCATGCCCCAAGGCGTCAAGGACTCTACTGCGTGTCCTACAAGCTGTGTGGGAAGGGACAGCATCCCCCCTCAGTGCCCTCATCTCACAGGGGATGTGTCCACCGGACCCCAGGTTAAGAACCACCACCAGCTTTAACAATCAGGCCTCAAAACTAGTTGTGAGTCCCCCTTCGCTGGTTCCATCGGTTGGTCACCGATCCAACCAGACGTTGGGAGGTTGAGCGTTTGGTCTGAGTTTCCACAAGGCCATGAGCTTGGGTGGCTGTGAGGTTGCCCCAGGTCAGGATGTCCCAGCCACGCCCCCCCCCCCCCCCAAAGAACTCTCCATGCACTGATGCAGGGGCTGGTGCTCCCAGGGCGAGGGGCCATCTGTCCCGAGCCCCAGCGGTGAGGTCCCGCCGCAAGCAGCGCTCCGAGAGTTTTGGTCCCTGGGTCTTGGGCTTCCTGCACCTGATGGCACCCGAGGGCACGGACGCTAACCCTCCTCCAACCCCCAGGGATGGGCATGCCAGGGGCCGCACTGTTTGGGGGGTTCTCGGTGCTTTTCCATCTAGTCCAACAAGCACCGCGGGACTCCACCGCGCACGTGCTACAGGCAGGCACTGTGCAGGAGCACGGGCTGGCTCCCACCTGGCCCCCCTCTCGGGGTGCGGTCTGACAGGGTGCGGGGCCCTCCGAACTGGGTCGTGAAACCAAATCGGCTACAATGTGAGCTCGCAATGGAGATACGTACGTGGAGTCAAGCACTACTGAATTATTCTTTGGAAGGCAAAGAGTACAGAACACACGCACACAAGGAGACTAAGTAGAATTATAAAATCTGTGGCCCTGGAAGTGCCTACCCTAATTGGAAGCTGCTGCTCAGGCAGGTGGGCGGGGCCGACAGCCTGGCTCTGGGCCAGCTGTCATCCCCAAGGTCCTAGGTGTCAAGGGAAGAGCACAGTGATTTCTTCAGGAAAGGGAGGACTCTGGCCCTTGCAAGTCCTGCTCTGGTTGAAAGAGGGGCAGTTCCGGGAGGCCAGTGGGGAGTGCGGGGGTGGGTGGGCGGATGTGAGGCTTCACTGGGAGGTAAGGCGGCCAGGATGAGGACGGAAGGACGGGAAGCAAGAATGGGTGGGGACAGCTGCGCCCCTCTCCAGCACTGCACAGGTGTGGACACTGAGGTCCTCCTCGGGTCCAGCCCAGACACAACACTGTGAGTCCCAGCCAGTGAGTGTGCATGACCCCAAGGAGGGCTGACAAGTGGGTGGGGTCACTTACTATTGCAACCCGTCCCCCAAAGCTGTTCCAAGGACCCTTGGGATCCCAGAGGCATTTCCGGGATGGGATTAGGAACACGCCAGTTTCCCTAAATAGTGTAAGTAGCTCTCTGGGGATGAGGGAGGGCATCTTGGCTGGTGGCCACACAGTGGGTGACCCAGTGAGGAGGCACAGTGTGGGTGCAGGGCTGGCCCAGGTATCTGCAAGCCTTATCTATGCCTGGAAGGGGAAAGAAGGAAGAGAAGGTATAAATAGAAAGCTTGCGAGGCCACGGAACAGGTGAATAAGCACAATGCAGCCACGTGTCCTCTGAAATCCACACACACAACAGCACGGTGCCAGGCTGTGGCGCACAGGAGAGACGCGTGCCTTCCGTCCGCACACCACCTGCCCTCCCACGCTCTCACCCAGCGGCAGACAGGGGGGCACACGTCTCATGTGTGACTGGCAGTGTGGGCCTGGGTCCCCACGCCCCCGCTTCCTGACTTCTCAGAGCCTCCATTTTCTCATGTGCAAAACTGTAGGGACCTAAGACACTGTGTGACACGGCCCTGTCCCCCCGCTTCTCCACAGGTCCCCATCAACTTCACCTCGCCCAAGCCCACAGTCACATGGCACCTGGACCTCAAAGGCACTGCCAGGCAGGCAGGCCGGCCAGCACACAGCCATGGAAAGGCCCCACAGCTGTCGGGGACAGGCTCGGTGCTGCGTCCACTCGCCCAGGGAATGCCCTGTCTGACCCCTGAACTCCTGAAGCGTCCACACCGAAAGGGAGCGTACACTCGGACGTGGCTTGAACGCGTCATTGCCGCACAGGAGGGACATGGCTGCCCAGGGTCAAAGACTGGGCAGAGCGCACGCACTTCCCCCTCTTTGACTAAACTTCCCATGACCGCGGGTCGGAACCCCTTGCAATCCCAGAATTCCAGGCTGTGTCCTTTCTCCCCGCCAAATGAGCCTCCTGGAAGCTTGGGCCACCTCCTGGAGCGCTGTCCCGGGAGGGAAGGAGCCCTCCCCAGCCTTCTTCCCCTGCGAAAGGCCTCTCAGCCGACTGACCCCCGCCCCCGGCACCACTCTGGCCGGTCAGCTGGGTCGGCCGTGGAGTTCAGGGCTCGTGCTCACCAATCCTACCGTGGCGGGTTTGAGCAGGAGGTGGGGCGAGTGGAGCCAGCTGCGGCAAGGGCTCTGCGCGCGCCTCCACCGCCGTGTGGACTGGAGCCCGGCGCGGCTTCCACCCAGCCCTGACCTCCGCCCTTTAGTCCACGGCGAGTGGGTGCGCCAGGCCCCAGGGGTCGGTGTGACTCGCGGCGCGCGCCAGGGCAGTCCCGTGGGGAGGACACGGCGGCCACGCGCTCCCTCCCCCGCGGCCCGCGCACCTGTCCTGGGCGTGGCCCCGCAGCCCCGCCCCGGCCGCGCCCCGCGCTGGTTGGCCCAGGCGGCGCGCTATGCTAATGAGCCAACCCTCCGGCCACCTGCCGGCTGCGCTGCCCGCGGGCGCCCGGCGGACGCGCAGGGGGACCATGCCGCGCTCCTTCCTGGTGAAAACGCACTCCAGCCACAGGGTCTCCAACTACAGGCAGCTGGAGACGCAGAGAGGTAGGGACTGCCCGGCTCCCCAGCCCCGCCCACGGCTCGGACTCCCGTCCCAGGCCGGGGGAGAGGAGTTACCTCGCCAGCCAGCGGAGCGGGGACGAGACCCCGGGTGGGTGGAGGCCTGCGAGCGCCTTGTCCACGTCGGGGGCCTCGGCCTCGCGTCGGGAAGAGCAGGCGGGGATTCCCTCCCCACTTAAGAGAAGTTTCCAGGCCCCCAGTCAGTCTGGGGGCTCTCCCCCTATGGCCTGGCGCACCCATCCCAGCTAAGGGAACCCTGGAGCCATCTTCCTGGTGCAGGAGGTGTGGGAGGGGTCCCAGGGATAGGTGGGGAGAGAGACGGAGGGAGGCTTGGGGCTGCTGTCCAACGGCTCCTCCAGAGCATCCAGAGGGAAACAGAAGAGACCCGCGGGCTGTGTGTGCCAAGGCCCAGCCCATGAGCCTTCCCCCAGGCCCCTCGGGTGCCTCCTCACCGCTCCGTCGGTCACCTTCCCCCCCCCCCCCCCGTCACCCCTCACCCCAGTGGAGGTTGTTCAGGACAGGCTGGGCTGAGGGGCTGCAATCCTCCCCCCTCCCCCCAGGTGGCCCAGGGAGACGCAGGTCCAGGGCTCAGGACTGCCCATGTCCTGGAGGCACGAGAAGGTCCCGGGACAAAGGCCTCTAGAGAGTGATCAGAGCCATCACCTCACAGCCCCTGAGGTGAAGACCCCCCCACTGAGGAACTGCTGGGTAGCTCAGGGGGAGAGGGGAGAAGGGACCCGGAGGAGGCCCAGGAGTGGAGGGCACCCCGCTGATCCTTTCCGAGGCCGCTGCCTCCAGGGGGTGCCTTCTAGGACTGGGGTCCCGAACTCTGCATTTTGAAAACAATTTCACAAAATGAAATAGAACGGAAGGCATCCGAATGCAGTGTTCGGGTAAAGGAAACTTTCATTTTAGATATATACATGATGGGAAATGGGAGTTTATGTGAGCCTGGTTGTTAAAGCTTAACACCTGTTGTTTAGAGCCCAGTCACCGAGTGCACCCCCCACTTTACTCTTTGAACAGGAGAGAGTGTCAGAGTGCAGCCCAGCCCTCCAGCACTCTCCGCTTCCTCCGCTTCCTCCGCTCCTCTCCTCCCCCCCTTCGGATGAGGGACGAGGCTCCCACATGTTGAGGCTACCCAGGATGTTGCCCTAGGATAGACCCAGGTGCTGGGTCTGGGGCCCCTCCCTCTCTCTTTTCAAATAAGTGCCTTTTCAGGCCTCCCCCCAGGGAGCCCCTGAAGTAGAGGGGACTTGAAAGTCTCTTCTCCCAGGAATTTGAGTTACAACAGCCCCAGAGGGTGTGTGGACGCATCTGAAGGGCCAGCAGAAGCACTCGATCAGGGCCACAGGCATAGCCGGCCCTCCCCTGCCCTCCCTCTGGGGTGGCCCCCAGCCCCCAAGACCGGGTTTGGCTCTGGAGCCAGGGTGGTGGCTGAGTCTCAGAGACTTAAGAGAGGTGACTGTTTTTCCCAGTAGAAAGCCCCCAGTGAAGTGGGGTCCTAGGCTCTCTGGGTATCCCAAGCCTCTCTCTCCAGAACTTCCTTGGACTTTGTCTCTTAGCCTGACACTGCCCAGTCCCTCTTGCCAGGAGGACAGAAAGTTGGCATGCTGTTTTATAATTGGGGGGATTAGGTTAGGGGTGAGGTCAGGATAGAGCAGAAGGTGGGAAGTTTCCTTAAGTGTCCCCACTCCTCTATATCCTCACCAACACTTGTAATTGGCTATTTGTAATTCTAGCCATCCTAGTGGGCACGAAGCAGTATCTCGCTGTGGCTTTAATTGGCATTTCCTTGATGGTTAATGATGGCAAGCATCTTTTCTGTGCGTGTTGGCCATTTGTGTAGGT